GGTGGGTCATCTCAACCTAAGAACCTAAGAACATCCGGTCGGTCGGCGATGCTGCTATACCGCCATCCGTCATCGGCAGTCTACTTTACCAGGTTTCAGAGATTGTATATTTACGTCCTAATATCTCCCCTTGTCGATCCCAAGGAAACGTCGGATGTCCCCTGAAAGGACTTTTTAAAGTGGGTGTCTTCTTTGTAAATAGTTCACGTAGTAGCTGGGACGAAAAGTTGACTAGGTACAGCCTCCAAAATTGCCGAGTACATAATATCATTTATATGAGGTTGCCACTACCCACCTCATAACTCATCTCCATTTAAGGCTAAGTAGTAAGCATGATCCTTACCCTGTTTCTGCCATTATTTCAACTGCAGGTATATCCACAGCTGATAGTAGCACTGAAGTTAATACCATTTTTGGCAGAAATCATGCATGCCCTTTATCAGCCCACGCAGGCTTACGCAATGGTGGTTATGTTCCCCGGGTATAGCACTCGGGGACCGGTGGCAGCAACTCTTTAATCAGCTTGCCACTATAGACATGTCGATCAGAGCCCCAGGGGGAGGGGATTATATTGTAAAAAATCTATTGCTTTATGTCATTACATTAAACGATCATTTCATTTTGAAAACCTCCATGACTAGGTCTGGTCGAAGTCGGGCAGTCTTTAGAAAGGGAATTTCTAAAGTAGGCCCTTTTTATAGATTGTTTGGGTGCACGGGATAAGGTGGGACATGCTTTCATCAGGGGTACGATCGGTATATGCCCAAAAATCTTGATAAAAGGGTGCATACGTCATGTTTATTATAAGTATAGAAATAAATCATAAATGTGGGGAGAACGTGGATTACGTAAGCGTTGCTGGGTGATCAATCCCATGACAAGTTGTTATATGCTCAATTAATTTAGTTAAAGTCTTTTAGTATTTTATGTTATAGTTAATATGTTCAGTCAAGGAAATGAAGTAACAAACATTTATTACATTTCGAACATTTAAGAAAAGCCCTCTCAAATGTCGTTCTGTTTTTGAATGGAATGACTTAGTCTTTTATTAGTATTTATTGTTTTTGATTTCATTTAAAGAAGATATGCTGTTTGTTTTTATAATTTGTTTAATTGTTCATGAACTTGTACAAAGGTGATTTTTTTTTTTTACTTATACAAAATTAAGTTGTGTGTTTGTTCCTTCCCTTTTGTTCGTTTTATTTTGTTTCCCATTCACATAGCCTTCCTTGTGTGCCCCATAATGTTCACTTGGTGTGTTGGTAAAGACACACGTACATTTCTCGATAGAACACACATAAACAAGATGAGAACATTATTTGTGCCTTTCGTTAAACAGTGTAATACTTGATCCGACCATCATCCTCATAGAACACATTGTTTTCTTCTTATTTTCAGTTCATCTTTTTTTTTTTTTTTGTTTGCTTGTAATTTTTTTTTTTTGTTGTAATTTTTTTGTTTGTCCGTGTCCTCAACTAAATTAGATATTTTAACTAAAATGTTGATTTTCCCCATTATGTCAAGATTCTTTGTTTCAGACCTTTTTTCTCTTTTTTTTTTTTTTAAGATTCTTTGTTTCAGGCCTTTTTTCTCTTTTCTTTTTCTTTAAACATGTCCTCACCTGGAAAAGGGGGGGGGGGGTGAGTTTTAACACAAAACATGCACCCCCCCCCCCCCCGGTGGGGACATGTTTGTTTGTTTTTGTTTTTTTTCTAAACTGTCACCCCCTAGACCGCTGGTAAACAGTTTAGATTTTTAAATGTAGCATTAATCATGAAAAAATCAACGTATAAAACTTCTCTCACTTGCAATAATCCTCATTCTAGTCAGTTGTAGTGTACACCATTAAAATTGAGGTTATCTTATTTTCGAGGAATATTTTCATGTAAAAAAATATATATTATATATTTAAAAAAAAAAAAAAAAAAAAAAAAAAAAAAAAAAAAAAATAAATTAAAAAAAAAAAAAAAAAAAAAAAAAAAGAAAAAACAAAAATTTAGTCATCTATACTTAATAGATTAATAGGCCTTCCGTTAATATCCGGATACTTAATAGATTAATAGGCCTTCCGTTAATATCCGGATTGCACCTACAAGTATATTATTTATTTTTTGTACAATGAATGCAAAATAATCAATAAAACAATTTTTTTTAAAATTCTCACTTCAGCCCTCCTTTTTTTTACGTTAATTTTTTTTTGGAGGGTGGGGATCGATCACTGAATCAACTCAATGTATTGGAGTTCAGGCTAATTGTTTAGTTTTGTATAAATTGATAACATATTTAATATAACAATTAGTCCTTTAACACATTTTTTTCCCTCTAGTATGTGGTGGCAATTTAACAGCTCAAGCAGGAACAGTCATCTCTCCGAATTTCCCTGACGGCTACCCAGATATTGTGACTTGCATATGGACCATAACAGTAGCAGACACGCAAATTATAACCCTCAGGTAAAGCAGGTTGACCAGGCATCAGTGGCGTGGCGAGACATTGAGCCGTCCCGTGGCGAACGACCGCTCCCTCCCTACGCCACTGCCAGTCACGTTTTTAGGAAACGGGAACTTGAAAAACCGTACTGACTTTATGTACACTGACTTTATGTACACTGACTTTATGTACACTGACTTTATGTACACTGACTTTATGTACACTGTCTTAATGTTTTCTTTTTTATTTAACAAGTAGCGTCTAATACCTAAAAGGATGTTGCTAATGTTTTTTTTTGTTTTTTTTTAATGTATTATTATTATTTTGACTCTGTGACTTGTGAGTGGGTTTGTATGGGGGGGGGGGGTAGTTTGTAGGTGTGGGGGGATCAGCAATACTGGTAACAGAGCTATTGCATTCTTGCAATATCCCTTCAAAAGTGACATGAGAGAAACTACGAAATGTTTTTTTTTTTTTTTTTTTATTTTTTTATTATTTTTTTGACTTTGTGACTTGTGGGTGGGTTTGTATGGGGGGGGGGGTAGTTTGTAGGTGTTGGGCGATCAGCAATACTGGTAACAGAGCTATTGCATTCTTGCAATATCCCTTCAAAAGTGACATGAGAGAAACTACGAAATGAGAAGTTAATATTGAAAGTAAACCATAAGTGCAGCGAATCATCCATTTCAACATACTTGACCTATTAGAGAACACTTTTCAACGTACTTAAGCTAAAGTAGAGAACACATTTCAACATACTTGACCTAAATTAGAGCACGCATTTCCAACATAGGCTCCCTGCTTGACCTACATTAGTGGACAACAACTTAACATCATATTGGTCTTCGAACTAAGAGGCAACATTTTTTTTAACCTATATAAAAATACCGTACATTTGTGTAAATAAGAATATATTCAAATTCGTGATTTAAATGTTTATGTATTTAAATGTTAAAACACTCTTTTCTTAACCGCCCTTAACGGTTACCAGTTTAAATCAGTTTCCGTTGTTTGTTTTTTTTTTTTACAATCAGGCTCGAATCCTGCCGGAACGTATGCAAACGACGTTCCTGTACTTTTTTTCCTGCATGTATTGAGGGTGTGGGGTGTGGGGTGAGCTACCACACTTCCCATCTCACAGGACTTGACCCTTATCTGCAATTCCTTCCAAACAGTTACTAGCAATAAGTGAGAACAACGTGATATTTTATAAGACTGTATCATCCGCGGGTGTAGCGAGTGGGGACGGAGACGGCTTCATTATGGTGGGGCGCCTTTTTCAGTGCACTACATAGACGTGTATTTCAAAAATCTATGTTATCTCTTTATGTGTTCTCTTAACATTGCAGTGTTATTTTATTAGTTTGAGGAGAGGGGTGGGGGGCTTCCATATGCCATCTTTTGAACAATGAATGCTTCCAATAACAAGTCGACAACTTCTCCATATAAAAGCAAATCCAATGACAACGGAGTTTTAACATCAGTCAGCTTATATTGATTCAGAGTGCTGTGTGGTCAGATAAACGAAACATTATCGAGTAGACTACCAATGTTATGCATTTTACAGCATTATTATCTTTATATATTATATATATTATATATATATATATATATATACACTATTGGTTTATCTTTTTTTAAAAAAAATAAGTAGATTATATTTTTTGGTGTCTTTTTTGTTTACATGATGTTAAAAAATAATTCGAAAAACGATTTTCGAGACTCAGCAACCAGTTTCCTGTTTCAAAACTGATTTTTTTCATGTTGGGTTTCCGCTTAACATCCTAGTTAAGTCGTATTTATAATTGAAAAGCGTGATGGAAGTGTTTTGATTTGCTTATCAATTATATTATGTTATTTATATTTTTTACATCGCGTTACGCTTAAGTTGGTTCATCTGATTCCTGTTCACGTTGCTGACGCTTCTACCATTAATTGTATTGCTTTAAACACGGTTGTTGCCCGCGAACCATGCGCTCAAAAGCGGCCCACAAGAACTTAAGACGACTTGGGATAAAGCTGTCGTGAAATATATACTTTGAGATTATTATATGTAAAGGCCTTTGAGAATTTTAAACACATTGTCAAATGGTTAAAATAATGATAATAATAACCATATCAAATGCAATAATTTAGTACCTTGCTTATTTGCCAACTGTACCTGAAAAGAAAATTCTAAGAACATCTTTCATGACGTATATGATGTATATAAAACATTACATTGTGGCCCTTAACGCAAACGGGTTGATCGCTTGTCCTTCTGATTTTATCATTCTGTCTTTCTTGCATAGATATATCCCAGAGTATAAACATCTCCTTGAATTTGTCATTTTTTAAACATAATCTGTGTTACTTAAACAAACACTTTCTTTGCATAAAAATCTCCAGGTTCCATAACTTTGAGGTTGACATTTACGACAGAGTATTGTTTTATGATGGCGACAGCATTCGGAAGCCGATTATAAATGAACCCTTAAAAGGATATTGGTCAGACTCAAAACTGTCCAACTTCCGTATCCGTACAACTGGTCCCAAATTGCACGTTGTCTTTACGTCCTATGGGGCGCCATCTGGTCCTGGATTCAGTGCTTCCTACTGGGCTCACGGTATGTGTCAAATAAATCAGAATTGACTTTCTCTTCTTCGTGTTGTAACTAGATTTAAATAAAAGAAAAGAAGAAAAAAGGGAGACAAAAAGAGGAACAAAACTCTGATTATTTATATAACTTAAGGGGGAGGTACACCGTAAAAAAGGGAAAAAAGCCTTTTTTTCTATTTAACAGTAACCATTGATACCAAATTAAAGTGTATTCAATTCTGCACAATTATGTGTAATTATTTTTAATTTAGGTTAAATAGTTCTTGAGGTATGATTTTTTTAGGAGGGGGTGTGTCAGAATTTACCCCCCCCCCCCCCCAAAAAAAAAAAAAAAAAAACTTAAATAAAATGTGGCTGTAAAGCAACTGCTTTTTTTTTTATTTTGGTTTGGCGGTGGCGCTCATTCAAAACACCATATACTTTTGATATCTCAATTATATTAAAACAACGATGACCTCCCCAATAATTGTTTAATACAATGATCAGTCCTTTAAATATGGCGGCTTCCCTGAAAATAAACAAAACATTTACTTGAATATTGAAATAGTCTTAATATTTAAAAAAAAAAATTATTTATACAATGCCTAGTGATAATAAATATTCAAAGAAACGAACGTTTCATGAAAATAGATATACCAAGCCTTATATTGGACCCAATTAGAATATTTTAAATGGAAATAAATTAATCAAAACAATCTGATTCCATTGATGATTGAATCGATAAATTATAAAATTATAACTTACCCTTGTCTAAAATTTAAATTTAGTGGTCTTGAAACACCATTTGCCACGCCCACCCAAAACAGGTCAGAAATTAAATTGAAAGACATATGAGTCATATGGAGTAAATGATTCTCATTTAGATTAAAGTGAAGATTAAGACATCTGAAAATCATTTCTTTAATTTAATGTTTATAATAACAGTGAATCAGCAGAAATTATTTTAATTTGGCCAATTTTTTTTAGACCATTATCATCCAATTATGTTTAGTAAATGTCCAGATATTTATACCCAAAATGAGAAGGAATTCATGAATAAAATTATATTGAAAATGTGCACTAAGAACAAATATTATGGTTTAAGTAGGGACCTCGGTATGATCCGGGAAGTGCCGAAAACCGGGTATCGTGATTTCGTTGTAAAAATGGCGACCTCCACTTTTTAATTTTCCGAGGGTAGTGTTGTTTAGGATTATTTTTGCTAAAGTTAGTTTTTTTAATAAATTCTACTTCTGCCCTCAACTTAAAGCAGACATGTTTCTTGTTCATTTTCCTTTACGAAAAAATTTGATGGTTTGACTTTAAAAATTAATGGTAAATAATAGCTAATTTGACTCATTCATAATTTTTTTGTGGAAAATATAAGTTAAATAAAAGAAAATACCCATGTTAGATGAAGTCATAATTAACAACATATCCAAAATTCGTGAGGTTAATAATAATAAGACTAATAATATTTTAAAACAAAGCAACAATTTAATAGCATTAATTACTTTTATCTGATGCCTTTATTTTAAGTGGGGAAGTGGTATAAATAGCACTATCCTTATTGTATAATGACAAGTAATAGTATAAATAATTAAATAAATATATATATATATATATATATATATATATACTATATAATATAGGCCTATATATTTATATATATATATCCATCCATCCTATAAGCCTAGTATAGTATAGTCTATAGTAGCCTATAGGTCTAGTACCATCCCAACTTATTATTGCAAGACCTATACTATTAATAAACAATTAACTATTATAGTTAATGATATTTTAGGCCATGTAATCATATTTTATTATTTAATGGAAATTATGATACTTAAATTTTAAAATAAAAATTGTTTTTAAAAAATATTCACTTACCTTTGATATTGAAATATCCTGAATTCACTCACAAATCACAATATTCCACAAGAAACTTATATAATCCTCAGTATTCTTAAAGAAATAACACACTGATACAGTAATCCAAGAATTTCTTAAGCTTTTACTCTAAAGAACAATCATAAAAGCTTGTACTTACCTCAAGCAAATGACTTAGAACTTATTTTAATTTATATCAACAGCCAAATTGATACATGTTGATTTGGGAAACAAGATTACTAATGTTTTGGTCATATTCAAATGGGACTAAAATACATACATAGAAAATGGTAAAATAAAAAGTATAATCGTCAATTTTATATAAATGAATCAAATAATCCCTGTATTATTTGTTTATACTGATAAAAGTTAAACAATTCCACAGAAAATTTGAAATTAATATCTAAAGAATATTATTATTATTATTAAATTAGGGAAATTTTAAACATTTATATTTAAAAAATATTAATTAATTAATACAAGTAAGTGACGAGTCAGCATATTTTATTCATTTTAATAAGGAATATCATCAAGATTAAAAATATTTTTTTGCGGAATATTAACAAAAACTAAAATTGTATTTTGTGGCTTTATTTAGAAGAACTCATATTTAAGTGTGTTCCCTGAAAATATCTTATTTTCGTCTCATTTTATAACAAAGTTATAGGCATACAAACAATAGCAATATGAGGGTGACGAAATGTGGAGGAAAATCCCATAGTGAAAAAGGGGTTTTGAGGTCCTTACTAAAAAAGTCATCACTTTTGAACCACTTAAGCTAGAAAGTTGATCTTGGTGTTTTTGTAAACCATTATATGGGCTCTATACAGCTGTTAGTATTTTATATTTTTTAAAATGTTTTGAAATTTTAATCAAAGTGCTTAAGTTTAAGAGCTGTCCACATTGGTGTTGACTTAGCAACCCTTCTTTTCAATAATGGATCCAAAGGATGGGAGGCTCCTCTAAGATTTTGCAGCTTTCCTTTGGACAGTTTCCGTTCATTTATTTCATTATGATGGATTCTAAGCTGATATCGAAGGCACAAAAACAAATAAATAAGTCCTTAGAAGCTAGAAGAACCAGAATAAGGCTTAAATTGGGGTTGGAAGAGTCAAAGTTCAAGTTAAATGACATCCTTATCTTTCAGGGGGTCATTAATGTTATAAAATGTATTTATTTAATGAACAAAACTATTGCGCGTTCATTCACAAAATTTCGACGTTTAATTCACATAAAAAATTATAACTTTTTGAAATATCAACCAATTTGTTTGAAATTTTTCAAGATGCTATAATATATACTTATCTATGTCAGCAACTAAGGATATTTTGATATATTAATAAGTACAAATTTTACAAAAAATCAAAGTTTGATTACAAAATGTCAAAATTAAGATACTTTGGGATGCTGTGATACAAAAAGTATTTAATAAATTACATTTTTCCTAGTTGTCGCCACAGCTAATCCATATTTCTATATGGGTAAAAAAATTATAATAAATTTGAGCTTAAAACATTCTAACTATTTTTTTTTTGTTTGACATGCCAATTCCCAGCATCCCATTTTTCATTTTTTTTAAAAATGTAAGCAAACTATTATCTTGCACTTTTAAAATTTTATTTTATGTGTTATTATGGTAGAATGACCATTCCTCTAGCTTCAGTGAAAATTTGACACTTATAACTTGAATAGTTTTTTTTGTGTGAATTTTTTAGTAGTCAACCTATGTTCAGGGTGTACCTCCCCCCTTAATTCTGATAAAAAAAAAAATAATTAAAATAATTTTTTTTAGTTGGTTATTAATTTGTCTGAAGCTCTTCCATAGGTCTGCTTTGATATATTATCAGAGATCATTATTTTTTTTAACGCTTTGTACAGATATTAGACTTCTGTTAATTTGATAATCCTATGGTTGATTTTAAAGTTTAATTTTTTAAAAGTTAAAAGTCAGCTGTTCATAAAACTACGTATGCTTTTGGTTAGTATTGTATTTGAAAAGTGTTAATATTACTATTTTTTGCCAGAATGTGCTCCATTTACCTACGGCATTGATTACTGTGACAAGCCATGTACCTGCCAAGCAGAGAACACATTGTATTGTAACAGTAGTACAAGCCAGTGTGTTTGTAAAGATGGCTGGAAATCTACAAATTGTGATGTCGACGTCAATGAATGCGATAACCCTAACATCTGTCCGGATTTGTACTCTCACTGTGTTAATACTAAAGGAAGTTTCTCCTGTGACTGTAGAACGGGACTTCAGCTGAATGCCACGGGCAGTTGCCTTTGTAAGTATACAATACTCTTTAAAAAATATATCCTAGCCAGGCTCTGCCTTCATTCTGTGCTCAGACTTGGTCTGTACTTTCGATACTGCTGAGCGATGTGCAGTGAAGCATTTGAAACAGTTTAGCCTGCCTAAATATTTTGGTTTTACACCTGAAAAAAAAAACTAATAAAATTATATGAATTGGATATGCAACCAGATATTAATGTTTCAAAAGAACTTTCTTAACTAAAGCATAATGCAGGGTTTGTCCAACTCAGGCCTGTGGGTCACATCTAGCACGTTAGTCATTATTGATTTTATCTGACAGAATAAGTAGCGGCTGTGTGTACTTAAATCTAGTAGACATAGTAGGGCTCAGTTGTATGAAAGGCTTTGCCACAATTTCCTTTCTTTTTTTCAAAGCTAGAGTTGGGATTAACATTTTCTTAAGGAAAAGTAGCGTTCTTAATGGTCACTTCACAAATGGTGAATGACTTTGGAAATTAGGCTCTCTGCAGATTCGACAAATCATGTGAACGGTAGCGTTCTTAATGGTCACTTCACAAATGGTGAATGACTTTGGAAATTAGGCTCTCTGCAGATTCGACAAATCATGTGAAGGAATTAAATGTCAGAGTGCAAAGCTAATTTAAGCTCGTTTCCAGCGTGAACACCCACAAGATGGCATGAAATTAAAAAAAAAAAACTGCCTTTAATGCATTTTGAAGTCACAGCTGATTCAGAACTGCGTCACTAAATTTTCATGCTATGAAAATTTGGCGCAAGATGCAACAGCGGTATGCTAAAAAAAAGGTCTCAGTATTCGAAAGCTGTTTTTCTTACTTAAGATGGTAGTTTCAAGATCTTTTCTTCCTATGTGGACGCCAGTGCAACATAAAGATGAATCTTTCAAAACCCAGTTGATTGTGTTATTGGTGAAATGAACTTCAGACAATTAACATTTAATAATTTTCTTTTAAATTGACTAAATTTTAAAAAATCATACAATATGAAATTATAGAAATTTCAGAAGCATAAAATGTGGGGAAATGTATAATAAATATTTAAATGTTCAGATATGAACATAACACAATAAAAAGTGCCAAATAAAATGAAACTATTTCATTTTTCTGAAATAGGAAGCACGCTTTTGCTTCAAAATCAATGTATAATCTATTAAATTAATACAGCAATGTAAAGCTAAAAGCTCTTATACTTTTTCTTACAGCAACTTGCACTACACAACAAAACAAGTGCTCCCACGCCTGTGGTGTAATATCGACAAATCCATATATCGAGCAATGTTACTGTCCAAAGGGAATGCAACTAAATTCTACAAACAACCAGACTTGTATGGGTAGGCTGCAAGTGGTTGCGTTCAGTTTGTTGACGTGGTCCTAACTTGTTCTTTATTTCTTAATATATTGTTTTTTTAAATTTAAAATGTTTAATTCTCGCACTATTAAAAATTGATTGAAAACAATTTAAAGTCTAATAACCAATAATGACAAATTTAGTGTATAATATCCAAAAATTTAAAATTTAATGTCTAATATGCAATAATGACAAATGAAAGGTGTAATATTCAATAATTTTAAAGGCAGTGTCCAATATCCATTAATGACATATGTTGTGTCCAATATCCAATAAAAACAAATGCCAAATTAATTGCATCAAAAACTGCTGAGCCTTTATTGTTTATAATAGTCCTTACAACATTTTTTTAATAACAAATTAATGCCCTTCTTAGAGCTTTTTTAAAAAAAAACATTTTTTTCTTTTCCAGAATGTGGAGACTGGTTTTATGGAGAAGACTGTAAATTCCGGAGTTCCTGTAACATTTACAATACAAAGATTTTAAATAAAGCTAATGGTCTCTGCAGTTGCTACCTAAACTGGACCTCCACGAATTGCACAGAAGATGTTAATGAGTGCAGTTTCAATGCTTGCAACACCAATAATTCTGTTTGTCAAAATTATTATGGTTCATATCAATGTAGATGTAACTTTGGTTTTGAAAATTACAACACAACAGCGTGCAATGGTGAGCAAATAAGGTCTTCTTATGTTTATGTGTCATTCATTGTTAAGACAGACACATAAATAAGATCTCTGCCATAAACAAAATAAGTCATTCTTGAAGAATTAGCTGACATATCGCAGATCTTCAGAATTTATTTATACACGAAATTCCTTGCAGAGCTTTCAACTTCTGCCAGTGTCATTATTTCACGCCAGTTTACATTGCATACCTTGGTGGAAATGATATAAAACTTATTGAGTTCCAATTTAACAGTATTCCAAGCTGACCTAATATATACACTGGCCTAACTTTAACGTAATTTACAGACATTTCTCGACATGTAAGTTGTCAAATAGTGGACGAATACAAACCTATATAATTAACATGTTAAAAATTACTTAAATAAATATTAAAATTGCACCATATTCCATATAATGTTTGGAAATGTGACAAACATAATAAGACACATGTACTCACACATGTACTGATAATTAATAAATAAAGGGGCTTCTTCAGTAGAATAGTTACTATTTCTATGCATTGGTAAAAAAATTTCGTAGCTTGTTTTTTTTTATATTAGCCAACATGCATAGTTTTTAGGCATTCGGCTGATAACCTTGAATCTAGAATATTAAATTTAAAATTACTGACAGTATTTAAATCATTAGTTATACTTTTTGTGGTCTTTTATAATGGAAACATTTTTTGCACTTAAAGTACATTATTTAATTAAGACTCAAATACGTGATACCTTCTTCCTCAGAGCATCTTAATATTAAATCTTTTTTAAAGGAAAGCCTTGACTTGAAAATACTATTTAAATATTTAAAATTATAAATGAAATCTTGTGTATTTTATTTTGTAACTATAAATTTGCATTTTTTCCGCCATTTTTCTACAGAGTGTGGTAAAACTTTGACAAACCCTTCAGGAACCATATCTTCAAACTATTATAATGATTATACACATTTTAATTTAAACATGTATGTCGTTTGTTCATGGATAATCAGTGTGGAAGAGGGCCACATCATAGATCTTAGGTATGCCGACTAAATGTATCATATTTCTTTTTATTGTAGCAACACTGAGTGCATCTGCTAATTATTTTGAATAAATTTTGTTTACATGAATAGTTGACGCACAATGAGGGGCTGCTTAAGTGTTACTAAAATTATATCATTGAAATTCAAGCTATAAATTTAGTTGTTGTTTTTTTCACTTGACAAACATCGTTGCTAGCTTTAAGTGAGAAATAAAATAAACCACTATCCTTATACCGGTACATAGAAGTATACGGTATTTGCTAAATATCTGTTAATGCAAACTTTTTTTTATATTTGAAATGCTCATTAATTTATTGGCATTTACATTTGCCTTTGGTTTTATTTTATTTTTATTATCCCCACAGATTTTCTTACATCAACTTTTACAATGGCTATCGCAGTTATTCTGGTTATGTAAGGCTCTATGATGGTTCAAATATAACAGCTCCCCTGCTAGGACACTTTGATGGACAAAACTATCATAATGGTCGTTTACCTCCAAATTATATTAGATCATCTGGAAATATTATGTACATAGCACGCACTGCACAAAGTTATTATTCTCAAGGTTTTGCCGTTTCTTATACATCACACGGTGAGTACAAAAATCATTTTGTTCAATAACTAGGATATTGGGTCTTTAAGCTAATTTTCTTTTTTAAGTCTACGAGAAAAGGTTTTAATAAGAATATAAGTTATAGATTTATGTTTGATACATAGTATTACATGTTTGTTAATCTCGAAATAAAAGATTTTGTTCTACTTTTTTGTAATTTTTCAATAGAATGCAAAGATTTTTTTTATGACACCAACTGTTCAACTCCATGCAACTGTAACAAGAGTAACACAGATTACTGTAACAGTACTACGGGTCAGTGCATATGTAAACCACATTGGACATCTCCTGATTGTACAGTAGACAAAAATGAATGTCTGGTAGATCCACTGGCATGTCCCAACTATTCGGACTGTACAAATCTCCAACCAGGCTACCAGTGTGACTGTAAGACAGGACTAGAAAAAAATGCTACAGGACAGTGCATTAGTAAGTTTATTTTGCTTCACTAGATTTTTAAGAAACTCCTTATCATTTAATTCACTTCAAATGTAATTGTTAAGATTTAAATTTTAAATAATTTAATATTTAAAACTGTCAAAAGAATTTGTAAATAATTCATTTACAGCTATTGGGAAATAAAAAGATAATTTATAATACTAAAAAAAATTAAAATATTTTTAAAAAGAAAGTAATGCTGAGTTTGCTTCTATTCAATGACTGAATACTTTTAAAGATTTTTTTTTTGCTCGTTTAAAAAGAAAATTATTTTTTGAAAGAAATGAAATAGATAAAAGGCCTTTCACATTTTTAAGTTCATTTTAAAAGTTTTATTCAGTGTTATATAGCATTTATTAAAATTACACTAATGAACAACCGAAAAATGTTTAATCTTCAGATTCGAATGCCAATTCTGCTGCATGCACCCAGAGACAATGTTCCCATGTTTGTGTCAAGCTAAGGAGCACCCTTGAAGAGAAATGCTACTGTCCAATTGGAATGGTTTTAGTTGGGGACACATGCAAAAGTAGGAAATTTACTTTTGGTTTTTTTAAAAAAAATTTAAATTGAAGAAATTTTCAAAAAAAAAAAAAATCCCCCCCCCCCCCCCCCCCCCCCTTTTTTTTTAAACACACAAAAAACTAGGTAAATTGCTGCCACTTATTCCAATGAATAAACGTTAATTTTCAATAAATATTTTAAAATTAAATGTTTATTTTAAAAATAGTAATTACATTTTGGCATTTATATGAAAATAAAATTAGAAAACTGCCAAAAAACATTATTTAACTAAAATTTCCTGCGGCGTATTAAAAGTAATGCATAAGAAATTAATTTCTCTAAAAATAACAAAGGGGTATGACTCCTGCAATAAATACGCAAATGACGACATGGCGACATCCCTCCAAATTAGCCAAAAAAAACTTTAAAATTGATATACATTTTAAGTAATGATTACAAAACTAAATATTTTTAAAAAGAATTTGGTGCTAAATTAAAAAAACAAACAATTTCAACTTTTTAGCATACGTCTATAGAATGCAATATAACGTTATCTGTAAAAAAAAAATGATAAGAGAGTAGATGATAAAATAGTGACAATTTATAAATGCATGTAAACTGCCATTTTTGAAAATTTTTTTTTTTTTTTTTTTTTTAAAATTTTTTTTTTTTTTTTTTTTTTTTTTTTTTTTTTTTTTTTTTTTGCTTTTAATTTTAATATTTTTTTTTTTAAAAAAAGGTCTACAACACGCTTTTAATCATTTCAGACTGCAGCAGCGGAACATTTGGTCCTGACTGTTCTCTTAATTGCCAGTGTGTGGTTAACAACACTGCTTCATGTGACCCTGTTACTGGCAGGTGTGTCTGTTTGCCAGGATGGACCTCTGACACGTGCTCACAAGACATTGATGAATGTTATTTTGATTTATACAACTGCTCTTCATATTCCAATTGCAGAAATACACCTGGCGATTATGCTTGTGATTGTTATAGGAGCAGCGGCTATGAGAATGTTGATGTAAAAACATGTAAACTTATTGGTGAGTTTGTTTATTAGTATAGATGAATCATATTTTTAAGTATGCCAAAACAACACACACTTAGCTTGATTTTATTCCGATTGCTTTAGAAATTGTAATATTTAAAGCATAGATCATTTATGAAGACAAAAATCTTCATTTAACAAACAGAACTTTAGGGATCAGTGGGTGAGTTAGTTACTTCCAAGATGTACCATAATCTGCCTTATTTATGGCATTTTTGGGTACATCTAACATATCGCCTCTCCTAACTTATTGTGTCTGAACAGCGCTTTCACGGAAGTAATTCTGCTTGGGTTGCACTGGCCCTTCCTGTTTTAACGGAGACTCATTAGGTGCAACCGAATGTTCAGCAGTGTAATTGGATCCAGGGAGGAGGCTGTGCAAAAACATGTAACGTTACACTAATCCATCGCCTGTTCTACCCTTGTGTGGATGTCTTCGTCTGGTCTTTAAGATCCCTTTTTTAACGCTTATATCCTGGTGGTTAAACTAGCTGTTGAAACCTCGTGTACGTAAACGATTGACCTGTCATAATGTAGAACATACCAAAATACTGTGGTCGCAAGGTCTGGTGGACATCGTCTGTCACCAGGATCATGAAAGTCCTCACCCAGACACAGCTGAATCAGGACGTGACAACACTCTGTCTAGTACTTTCTTAAATGGCCTGAACCAAAAATGAAAAATGGATTATCAGGGGACAGTCGGTGACTGGAAATGAGCTAATTGTGAATCCTGCCTGGACGACAGTGCTGAGGGAGGACCGCTTCACCGAAGACTTTCCGCCTGGACAACACGGAATCCAAATACATGGTCACCATGTGGAGACATGAGGAGAGCAGCTTCTGTATCTTGGTATGAAGGAAAGTCATAGATAAAACCAGTGAAACCATGTCGATGAAGGGATCCGTGAATAGTTTAAATGAAAACCCAATGTTGCATGTTTCATTTTTCTTACAATTTGAAATGTTTCACAATTGCAGAAAATAGATTTGTAACATTTTTAACAATCAAATGAAATAAGTTTTTTAAAGAGAACGTCTGGTCTCATTCTGTTGTATGCTTTTCAACTACAAAAAAAACAATCCAGATTTATTTTGATAATCTTAAAAGTGATACTGAAAAGCAAACTGTTTAATTAAAAGCTGCAGAATAAAAGAAAAGAACAAAACAACAAAATTAACAGAAATGTAGCAAAATTTAAAAAAAAGAAACTAAAATTAAATATTTTTAGATCCAATTATGGAAGGGCAAGCGCGTGGTTGGCTTTGAATGTTTTGGTGTGTGTATGAGATGGAGAGAAGTATTTGGCACATTTTCCAGTCCATAGACATCAACAATATTTGATTGCTTTAATAAGAAACTGTCGAAAAAAGAATAGAAAACTCAATTATATACTTGCTTTCCTGCTGGCATGTACACGAACTGCGTGCTGCACCAGGGGATACCGTCCCAAGGGGAGGACAACAAATTTCGAAATTTAAATTGAAGTCAGTTTCCGAACAGAACATACTCAAATATAAGATCAGTGTCCCACCCCCACCCCCCCCAGCAGGTTGACATTAGAAAAGGTTTCAACTGGAGCAGGGTGCTTCTGATCGAGTTGCCACGAGAGAAATTTCACCACAGTCATGTGTAACCAGAACGTTTGGGGGGGGCGGGGGTTCATTACCAGTTTCAACTAGGCAGGCTGTCACCAGAGCAGGGTACAAAAGAGCAGCTTGCCACATGAACAGATCATCCAAGAGCAGACAGACTTGGAGGAGGTTCATAAGGAAGTCAGGAGGAACTGACACCATGAGTTAGACACCAACCCAAATGATGAAATTGGCTAAACCTTTTGACTTGAAGAGCATATTCATTTGTCGAGAACCACACACACTTTACACATTAATAATAATAAAAAGTCTATTTGAAAAATCACGCTTCATCACCCAAAGACTCGAAGCGCGGTACAAAGTCAACCGTATTAAAAGAGTAATGAAAACAATATTTATTTTACCTCATTGAAATACAAAACGCAACATTACAAAAACTACATACGAGAATACCCATTTTAAGTCTTTCATCCCTTGCAACCATAAACAAAACAAGCCATTATACATTTAGGAGATAATAGCCAGGAGGAAAAGATGGTAAAAAACACATCACGCCAGCAGGTGTTTGCAAAATAGTTGTGTTTACAAATCGGTTTTGAAGGATTCAAGTGTCTGGCTGTTTCTGAGAGCGACAGGAAGGTTGCTCCAAATGGTTGGGCCAGCATGGAAAGGCGTCATGAGGGCCTTGAGATAGAACGGTGCCAGGTCGTGTAAGTAGCAGTAGCACACAGAGTTGTAATTTTATACTCTATGCGACCGGCAGCCAATGCAGCTCTCTCAGGTGTGTTTTAGCACGGTAAAAATTGCATTTGCGCAGTTCAATGCAAGCCGCATTATTATGTGCTTTTTGAATTTTATCCAGGAGCGTAACTGGAAGACCCACCATGAGAGCATTGCAGTAGTTCATGCATTATAGCACGAATGCAGACATAACCCTCTTTCATGCATCAAACGTTAAGAAAGGTCTGATATGACTAAATCTGCGCAGCTCTAGAAAAAATCGCCTAGCAAAACATGTTAATGTTATTTTCCATAGTTAGTGTTCTGTCCAAGTACACATCCAGGTTTCGCACTATTTTAGCAAACTCAATGTGCACACCTGAGAAAATTTGCTCATATGAGTGCCGTTAAACGGCAAGAATTCAGGAGCATCCGTGCAAATGTCAAATCTCGCCCTGATCTTCGTAACTTTGTAACGTTGTGATGCTGTGCAAAGTGTAGAAAACAGAGAGGAAATGGAGAAGGATACTTTTCATGTCATCTGTGGCGCCCCAACGGTCCAATGACTAAGGGACATGATGATGATGAAGCTTCCAAATCCCCATTAATAACTTATAATTTTTGGATGGCACTTAAAAATTTAAGATTATATGTATCATTCAACACGACACATCTCATGCATCTTATTCTAGAACCATTTGGCAAACATCAGAATGCGCTATAAAATTATTATCTTTTTAATTATTTTGTTTTTTGACTACATTCTCAACAGATTGCAAAAGCATCCTAATGAATAATGCTTCTGGGATAATAACCAGTCCTGACTACCCCAATAGATATTTCAGCAAAGCTAACTGTTCCTGGCTAATCACAGTAAATGAAGGGAACGTTATATCCGTAAGGTAATTGTTGGTGAAAAATAAAATTTTATTTCTTCCGCTATGAAACAAATGCAACTTGAAACATATTTATTAAAGCTTTACCACACATAGATTTAATAATGGCGAAAGGCAATGCAATTAATATAAGTAAAATAGCTATGTTAATTTTTTTTAAAATGTGTACTGTATCATAAATGAAAAGCATATTTTTATTATATTTTTGTAGGACTAAGTTT